GAGACCCTGCACCAAACGGAGCAGGGAAGTGCCRGATGTTTCCCGCCTCAAGCATTATCAAATCCCATTGAATCTGATCCGAACTCTTTTCCAGGAGGAGCAGATTCCCTGCTCTTCCCCTCTCTCCGGACACCCCGTGCCAAGCCCAACAAGCCCCGGTGCTATTCCAGCCTCCCCGAGGTGTTTTTCCAGCAGCACAACTCAACATCGCATTCCTTGCCAAGCCCGCGGCCTTCCCGCTCCGGCGTGGCCGGGAGGAGGAATCCATCCCRTTAGGAAAACAACAGGAATGGCTTTAGCAGCCCCTCGGCCCCAGCACGTGCAGGGTTTGTTTGCAGAGCTGGGCCGGGGCTCAGGAGCTGATCCCGCCTGGATTTACACTCAGGCCGAGGCTTCCATGTGGGCTCAGCCTTCAGCGGGACCTTAATTCCCCTTTTCCTTCAGGAAAACGTTGGGAGGGAGTTTTGTTTCTCTTTCAGGATGCTGGAAGAGCCAAGGAATATTCCCCGAGGAGAGAGAGAGCCACTGGCTGTCAGGGCTGGGCTCCAGGGTCTCGGGGGCTTTTCCAAGCTCAAAATTCCATGATTCCAAGGATTTGAGGAGCAGGCAGGGGCTCCATCTGGCAAGGAGCTGCTCCTGTCCCACGGCACCTCCAGCTCCCATCCGAGGCACGAGCCCCGTGGGTTCCCAGCACCCCTGGATGGGTTTCCAGCACAGGGGTGCCCGTTTTCCCGGGAATGCCGGGAGGGAGACGGAGGAGCCGGGGGCAGGATCCTGGCGCTGTCCTTTCGCCGCGTCCCGTGCGGGATCCCGGCTCTCCAAGCCCTTTCCCGAGGCGGAGGCTGCTCCTGCCGGCCGCCCCTCCTCGCACGCGGCTCCCAGATGTCCCGGGCAGGATTTGCAGGGAATAACCTCCAATTCCCCCCGCTCCTTCCAGCCCCAGACTCCGCCGTTAACCGGGATCCTTCCCGAAATACTTGGTGTTTTTAAAATATCAACCYCTGGGWGGGAAAGGTGATCCCTGGAACCGGRCACATCCAGAGCTGTGGAATCAGGYTGGATCTGTGCATCCTCACGCTCCATTCAGGGCATGGAATGAGATTCCAAATCCACTGAAACGGTTCCCGGGCAGAAAAGGAGGAGAAAATCCCGATAAAGAGAAAAGCARGATGTATCCATGTGGTTTATCCAAACCATTTCTTTTTTATTTTCACAGATTTTCAATGCTCCGTTGTTGCCCTCGGATCAGCAACGTTTCCCACAAGGAATTTTTTCTTTGAAGGACCCAMGACCCCGCTGTCGTCTTCACGTTAAGAACGTGTGATCATAAAATGCAGAGGTTTTTTAGGGGGRAAAAAAATCCAAACGGAAAAAATCCCGGGGGCTTTGGTGTGGTTTTAATCCGGGCGGGTTGGAGTAGTCTCTGGCAGGGGGAGGATTTTGCGGAGGAAAATTGTTTTTGATGAATATTATTGTTAATTATTCAACCTGTGGCCTTGGCCGACCTGACAGAGATRCTCAGAGGGAGCTTTGGAGAAGGATTTCATTCTGCCGAGCTCTCAAACGCTCTTCTTCAGCAACCAG